CGGCCCCAAGCTCGCCATGGACAGAGGCTGCTTCGTGGCAACCACTCGCGCACTGCTCCCTCTCATACGAGGCAGCAGCGCGGGGGAGGGTAGGCAGCACCACGGAGCCGTGCAAGGGAGGAGGGGAATGTGCACTGTCAACAAGATTAACCAATAAGCTTAGGATTATCGGTTAATCGTGTAGTTGCCTACTCGGTGACATCCCTGAATCAAATCAGCTCTTAAGCGTCAATTTCTTAAGCTTTTTCCTAATGTCCAACCTAAACCTCCCTTGCTGCAGTTTAAGCCCATTGCTTCTTGTTCTATCCCCAGAGGCCAGGAAGAACAAGTTTTCTCCCTCCTCCTTATGACACCCTTTTAGATACCTGAAAACGGCTATCGTGTCCCCCCTCAATCTTCTCTTTTCTAAACTAAAGAAACCCAATTCTTTCAGCCTTCCTTCATAGGTCATGTTCTCTAGACCTTTCATCATTCTTGTTGCTCTTCTCTGGACCCTCTCCAATTTCTCCACATCTTTCTTGAAATGCGGTGCCCAGAACTAGACACAATACTCCAACTGAGGCTTAACCAGCGCAGAGTAGAGCGGAAGAATGACATCTCGTGTCTTGCTCACAACACACCTGTTTAATGCATCCTGTTTAATTATTAACATTTGTGACGCACTCAGACATTATGGTGGGGAATGCCACAGGGAAGCCAATAAGTAAAGAATATTCACGCTGTCTTTTGGGAAGAGAGGGAAGAAGGAAAATGAAATTAGCAAATGTAGCAGACTACACCGTATGTGTGAGTGAGCGTGTTTCTTCCTGAACTAGACTGTGCTCAAGTGATATGTCAGCTGGTATATTTCCTGTTAATCAGGCCTCCCCACCTTTAAATTTGAGAAGTTACAACATGGCTATCCAGGGAAGAAAAGTCAACTCTCTTCCTAGGCAGATTACTAAAATTCACACCGGGATTATTAAGGATGCATGAAAATTAACTACAGTGACATGGAAAATAAAACCTAAATAGGATACCAGACAGCCTTGCATCCCTTGAGTATTATATTCTTTTGACTGCTTTCATCAGCACAACACAGAGAAATGAACCACTGAAATAAAAAAAAATGCTGCCATAGTTAAAGATTCAGGTTTAAAACTGGAAGTTGCAGTGGGAAAGTCTAAGCTGGATACTAGGAAAAAACTATTTCCCTAGGAGAGTGAGGATGCTCTGGGATGGGTTCCCTAGGAAGTGGTGGAATCTCCATCCCAAGAGTTTTGAAGTCCCAGCTTGACAAAGCCCTGGCCGGGATGATTGAGTTGGGGTTGGTCCTGCTTTGGGCAGGGGGTTGGACTCGATGACTCCTGAGGTCTCTTCCAGCCCTAGGGTTTGATGGAAACATTCTAGGATTCTTCTACTGTGACCATGTTTGTCAACCCAATAACCAAATCGACACCTTCACTTTCTTTCTAGCTGTTCTCTTCTGACAGATTCCTCTAAGTTGCTTGCAGCCTCAAAATGAGAATACATTTTTCCTTAGCTCCTATGTTTAAGTTTCCAGTACTCAATTCAAGTGACAAATCCAAGGACAAGAGCTTTTGTCTTGGAAAGCAGAGAAGTCGCAGAAAATAATTGTTTCCTATACAATAAAGCTGCAAAAGTCAGTTTAAATTAATCAGTCAAGGAGTCAGTCCATTCTTCATGGGGAGATCTGAAGGTACACTCCAAGCATTCAATCTTGGTCATTTAAAAATGTGTGTGTGTTTGTTTGTATGTTACTTGTATGTGTTTCTTGGAACACAAGTAAAAGAGCATTCTTCAGACACCGCACTCCTTACAAAAATGGAAACAATTCAGACTCACGGAAAATATAGGATTGTATGACTGCAAAGCTTTTTTGTACTTTCAGCAAATGATTCTCTAATAAAATCTGGTGTCATTCAAACTATTTTTTCAAACAATATCTTAAATCTTAAATATTTCAGCCCTTTTAGTAGCTTCCAGTCTCATTTCTTCTCTATAAGCCTGACTGGAGAACTACAGATATGTTAGCTACACTAAGCAAAAGCACGGATTGCTGTACTTGATTCAGATATTCATCTTCTGCTTGGCCTCTGCAAAGACTGGCTCAAGAAGAAACAAGTAACTGTGGGCCAAATTTTGTAAAGGTATTTGAATATTGCTGGGCACACCATTGCAACACCGATCCAATTTAGGAGCCTAAGGCCAAGTCTACACTATCCCCAGCAACTTGGCTTAAGGTACACAACTTCAGATATGTAGAATACATAGCTGAGGTTGGCGGTGTTCCCACAGAGGGAGGTCAACAGAAACAAACACTCCCATCAGCTTCCCTTACTCCTGGCAAGAGCAGGACTACTGGACTCTGGCAGGGACTGCCCTCTGAGTTTGATTTAAGGAGTCTTAACTAGACCCGCTAAATCAAATTCCAGAAGATCGATTGCAGCAACATTGATCTTCCACAGAGCGAAGACAAGACCTAAGTCTTCTTTTCATTGACTGCCAAGGGAATTTTGACTGCTGAATGCCTTTTGAAAACGAAAGCTGAGGCTTGTCTACATTGCAACTTTCTCACTCAGGGGGTATGAAAAAAAACACACTCCCCCCAAGCACAGAGAGTTACAGCACTATAAAACATGCTCCCAGAACTGTTAGCTACTCCCCTCACAGTAGTGCCATGGGCAGGGGCAGCCCGTGACTACAGGCCGACTCGGCCGTCGCCTAGGGCACCGCCTTCAACGGGGCGCCCAGGGCACCCAATGATGACGTCACAGGGCACCCGATGATGATGTCACTCCATTGATGGCCGTGCAGGCGGGGGCACCAATCGTGCATTCCACCTAGGGCGCCAGCTGCCGTAGCCCGCCTCGGGCCACTACTGCCCACTGGGGCACTTTAAAACTGAGACGCAAAGACAAAGCCTCTGGCTCCTCAAACGGTAAAGTGTTTCAATGCTGTGCTCAGCCACAATGCCTAAATATGTTTACAAATCTGAACCTGGACAGACTTTTGTACTTACGGGTGGGCAAGGCTTTACGGTGCAGTATCTTATCCCACAGTGACTGCTGTCATTCCAAAAAGGGCAAGGTTTCTTTAGGTTTACCTGTAAAGAAATGTATATAAAAATAATTACATATTACACAAATCCACATAATCGAGTCAATTATGTGAGCCACAGCCTAATTTAATAATCCTTGCTCCTTTAGAAGTAGATCTAAGCCACGACTTTTGTAAGCTCAGCTAGGGTGTAACTCAGCATACGTCATTCTACCCTTTTATGAAGGCTTAAGTGACACATGCCCAGTGTTCCGGCTTTCTTCACAGGCGCAAACTTCACCACTAGTAAAAAGGCTCAAGATGAACTTTTGTACTTCTCTCACCCAAAAAATTCTTTCAGTACCTTATAGAGGACACTGAATAGGGTGACATTACAGATTTCAAACACTGGGGAGTGCGTTTTACAGGGTACTTCTTCGGTGCTTTTGGGCCTGGATCAGATTTTCAATTCGCCCCTTCTCTCTGCTTCAAAATATCAACACACAAGTACAGGCAGTCCCCGAGTTACATGGATCCGACTTACATCGGATCCCTGCTTACAAACGGGGGGAGGGAACCCCGCACTAGCTGCGTCCCCCCAGCAGACCAGGGAGATGCGAAGCTAGCGCCCCCCCCCCCCCCCCAAAGCTAGCGCCCCACCCAGCAGACCAGGGAGACGTGGAGCGGCTTTTCTCAGCAGACACCTCAGCTTGAGAATAAAGGACTGAGGGAAGTGAGGTGTGGGAGAATAAAACTGAGCTCTGGAGAAATGTTTGGCTAGAGTTTCCCCACAATATGTACCAGTTCCGACTTACATACAAATTCAACTTAAGAACAAACCTACAGTCCCGATCTTGTACGTAACCCGGGGACTGCCCTAAACAATCCAATCATGTAATGATTTTTTTTTTAAATTCAGTAGCAGACAAACACAACTCAAATACTGCATCATGATTGGCTCCCCACATAGAAAGCTTTTTTTTAAGCACAAATGACCAAATTCCACAGTCACTTCATATCCAGGGCTTAATTTATAATGACAGAGGTGCCAGGGTTCAAGCAATATTTTTACATACATAACTGACGCAGCAAGCCCAGAAGTGCTAAGGCTATGAACAGCCAAGCCTCAAAGTGGCAGGGCTCAGTTCTTGCACAAATTAAGCACTGCTTACATTCATGCAACCCTAGCAACTGCAGGAGAGACTATTATGGATGTAGCTGCGGGCAGAATTTGTCCTGTAAAGGATCAGATTAATAAAGACGGGATGGAAGTTATAATGACCAATTTACTTGGCCTTGTTAAATGCCTCATTGTGTGTACAGAACAGTCAACAAAATATTGTTCTTATTGCACAACTTTCTGCCCGGAAACATTTCCCAAACTTTACCTAACATCAAAACCACTTCCTTGCTCTACCACTGAACCCTTAAGGGAAAAAATGCTTCAGAAGCACTTCTTAAAACTTTATATAAATTGTTTGAAGAAAATTAAGATTCTCTGGATAGTATGAAAGCTGGAATTGTTATGATCATGCTCCTGAAACAAGAGTACATAAATTAAAAGTGATAACTTTAAAAAAAACCCGAAAAGAGACTGCTTATCTAATCCCAAAATATTTTTGTCAATGAATATAATTTGAATATGAAAGAAAATACCTTGTAATGTCTGAAGTAGTCACTTTCCAGAAGTTTATTTAATTTAGGAAAAAGCTTGTTGTTGTTAAATGTATCTATGGTTTCCACATCACAGGTGCAATCATCTAAGTAACCAGTGACCTGTTGAATAAAAAACAGAACATGACAGATAACATGAACCAAGTAAAGAATCTGTTTTTAAATTCTGTGCACAGAATTTAATGCAAAATGTCTTCCCACACTTCTTCGAAGAGGCTACCAGATAAAGACAATTAGAATGAAGCATTCATCTCTGCTGTATTGGTGTGATATCTCTTGGCATCTGTACATCTCTGTTGAGGAATGCCTTTTTTCCCAAAACCTAGTCGTACTTGGCATATTGCTGAAGAGTTGATATTTCATGAATACTAGGGATGTAAACTCCCAGTTAACTGATGAAGCAGGATGCAGGTGTGGGACCACTCCAGCCCAGCCACCAGCTCCCAGCTCCCAATCCCCGCTGGAGCATAATGACCGATTCACTTGGCTTTGTTAAATGCCTCATTGTGCATACAGAACACAGTCAACAAAATATTGTTCTCATTGCACAACTTTCTGCCTGGAAAGACAAGAGCAGCCCCTGTCTGCAGCGGCCCCCCCAGGGTTAACCAGAACCCATCACCCATTAAGGGTTATGCTAATCTGTTAACCGGCAAACCTTTCCCATTCCTAATGAATGTGTTGCTCTTTAAAAAAAAAAAAAATCATAGATTCTGATTGAAACCTTTGACTAAGTTACCTCACTACAAATATAGCCTCGTCCTGTCTATACACCATACATAAATGTACTCCTTTGGCTACACACATAATGTATGTGCAATTATAAGGCCTGAACACCCTGAACTTTACCAATGGCAATTGCCTATCTTGTTTCTTATATGACAACAATCCCTGTCGCATCTCAGGGTTGTAAGAAGTACCAGTCCCTGCTTCCACACCAAGTAAGCCAAAACAACACCGCCATCAGAACGCACAACGGCCAAAATAAAGTTCTGTCTTTCAAGGTAACTGTGGTGCTGCCATTTAGCTCATTTAACCAAAACGCAAACAAACAAACAAAAAAAAAAGTGTGACGGAATCTCTTCAGCCATCGAATTACAGAGCTCCAAGAAAGGATTCATGTTAAATCTATTTTAAAAAGCCAACGTTTCTTACAGCTTTGGAGTGATGCGTTGTGGTTGGGTGGGGTTTTTTTATGACTGCGTGAGAAGACAGATTCATTTGTGGCCTTACAGCACATAGATGGCTGGCTCAAAGAGGAAATTGCACAACGTCAAATGAGTAGATAGAGTAAGACGAGAACAAGACTGTGTTCAAACAGCCCCGCATTCCACCTTTACATTATGTTGTTGACTTATACTGGATTTTGACACATCAGTACTAAGGTGGCATTTTCCAGTGTCAGTTAATATTATAGTTGTGTTAACAAAAAAGACTTAAGACAGAGAAGGACTTTGTTGAAATACATATTAGTTTAGGAAGTGAATATCCATAGGAAGTTTTATCCTTGGATCTGGACTCATTATACTTTGGTCATCTGAAGAAGTGGATTTTGCCCACAAAAGCTCAGGATACCATCCACATGTTTTGTTAGTCTTTAGAGTGCTACTAGACTATTTGTTGTTTTTTAAGTTTTTCCTTTTACAGACTAACTTGGCTACCCCTCTGAAGCATAGGAAGTTTGTTAGAGTTTATTAAAATAAGTTCCCCTGATCCCATCTTTCACCACCTGTCAGAAATAGTAGAACTCTATCGCACATAACCATTGACATGCACGCACAAAACATGAGTTCGGTCTCCAAAATTTCTGCTCATGTCAAATCTCAGCTACCCGTCCAATGCCCTGGAAGCAGGCAGAGGCAAAAGGAGAGGATAACGAGAAACAGAGGGTCCCTACCAGCGTCATGGTGACTGCCAGCTAAGTGCAAACTTGTAGTGCTGCTGCTCTAGTGACTGTCAGCACCTGACAGGAACAACAGTCAGAAAGAAGCAAGGACTAAAGAAAACACCGAGAGAGAGACAGCAGAGCTTTGGTTGTTGTTGTTTTCAAGGACTTCTTGATAATTCTCTTCTTTCATGTGAAAAATTCACACGGCCTTGGTTCTTATTTTTAAGGCACTCATCTGTTAGGGCCCAGGATACCTAAATGATACCCTAAATGTTTTAGGGGTCACCTAAAACAGGGGTCTCAAACTCAAGGCTCCACCCCTGACCTGCCCTCTCTTCTCCCCACCATCATACTTCTTCCCTCAAGCATTCTTCCCTGAGGGACACAGTTTTGGGGATTATCAGGGGATCTGGCACGGGGTGGCAGCAGGGATCGGGTCCCCCTGTACTCACTGCGGTGGTGGGAGCTGCATTGCAGGCCCTCCCAAAATTCGGGCCCAGGTTGGGTGCTCCAAAGTGTCCTATGGACGGAATGGCTCCGTACACATCTCCCCCGGGGCAGAGAGACATGCCGGCAATGGTGCAGAAGCAGCTAGAATTCGCTCTAGCCCTGCTGTGCTACCAGTAGTGGTGCCTGGATCCCCAGGGGGGCATTAAATAGCCTGGGAACAACAGGTGAGGCTGGCGGGGGGGGGGCCCAGGTTGGGTGCTCCAAAGTGTCCTATGGACGGAATGGCTCCGTACACATCTCCCCCGGGGCAGAGAGACATGCCGGCAATGGTGCAGAAGCAGCTAGAATTCGCTCTAGCCCTGCTGTGCTACCAGTAGTGGTGCCTGGATCCCCAGGGGGGCATTAAATAGCCTGGGAACAACAGGTGAGGCTGGCGGGGGGGGGGGGGGTGCATGTAGCTTGAGCCCCCTGCACTGAAGATCTGCAGCACAGAAACAGGTCTGCTCCTCAGGTCCAGAAGAACTGTGCAAAGTAGTAAAGGGTAAATCTCATCGGTCTGGTGGACAGAGCTTTCTCAGGGGCTGGTCCCAGACCATGGAACGAAATCCCACAGCCACAAAGTACCACCACAAACCTTCCCACATTTCACTCCCAGGGAAGGCACAATTCTTTGGCCTGCCTTCTCTAGGACCCACATAGAGCAGCCAGGACTCAGATCCAATTTTTTTTAATGGACATTTAAAAATCATTCATGGGAAAGGGAAGAGAGAAAGAAGGAACCACAAAGAGATGTGTATCACTTCGCTTGAAGACTCTGAGAACTACGGTGGTGAAAGCCATATACAAACCGGGACAGAACAGTCCTGATCACCACTGGGCAATTAAACACCTTCTTGTTCCCTTCCCCCGCCCTCCATGGGGGCGGATGGCAATGGCAACAGAACACCTTCCTCCACAATAAGGGATAACCCAAGGAAAGAAAGAATGGATGGAACAATCCACGGAGGGTTGCCAGATACTTTCACAAAAAATCCCAAACATGGCAAGAAAAAAAAAATTGGTTGAGCAAAGGGGAAAAAACAAAACAGGGAGCCAAAGTTGTCGGGAGGTGGGGGAGGGGGAAAGAGGTCACTGCACCTTTAAATATTCCCGCACTCCTTGCTCCCCGTGCCCTCGCCAGACACGGCAGGGGAAATATGTCCCCGCCGGCCTTCCGTCCAAAAGAAACAGAAAATACCGGACATTTTACCAGTATTTTCTGGGGTTTTTTAGCAGACAGGGGCCAGAAATAACAGACTGTCTGGGCGAAAACTGGACACCTGGCAACCCTAAACCCGCGCCCTTCACAAAAAAACCCCAAATGATTGACTTTGCACTGGCCTAGTCTGCTGACTCAGGAATACGGAGTCCAGTCTCCAAAACCGAATCTCTTGCATTGTGCATTTCTTTGCGCCCTTCACAAAAAAACCCTAAATGATTGACTTTGCAATGGCCTAGTGTGCTGACTCAGGAATACGGAGTCCAGTCTCCAAAACCGAATCTCTTGCATTGTGCATTTCTTTGAAGAAATCGTTGGGACATCCTGGGTCACAATGGAAGTTTGAAGAACTCAATGGAGAGGGAAGTCTACATGACCACGAGAGCACACCTGCTTCCCCATAAGCAAAATATAGTTCTAGGCCTGGTTTTGAACCCTCAATGCAAGCAGCTAGTATTTTCTACACCTGGCCTCATGTTTTCAAGACAGTAGAAATGTGGGCATTTTCAGCCCTACATTTCTACAGTTCTGTAATTGGGGAACTGAAGGTGTTTTGTATTGCAATGACTGTAAAATTAAGAGCTCAGTAATTAAGTTTATAACCAGGCTAAGCCTCCCAATTAAAAGAATTAACTGACTAATCTCAAGTCTACACTCATTTCAGTTTCAAAATCCTCAGTGCTACTTTCTGGAAAGATTGCATTCTTCAGGTTAGCCAGGGAACATGCATCATTGGGATCTAGTGGCTGCTCAGTGCTTCGGTGGTGCAAACCTGGGCAGCTAACGATTCGTCAGCACCAGCAAAACGTTCCATTCTAAGAGCACGTTGAGTTTGCTAGCACCCATGTTCCCTCTAACTTTTTCCCATCGGGGTGCGGAATAAATTTTGTTATGTGCTCAGAGGCATGTGCAGATGTGCACCAGCAGGAAAAACGCCAGCTGTGGGAGCTCTGCTAATCATCTGGGCAGCACCTGAATCTCTCCTGGGTGGCCGCCCAAGTGTACAGCTTACAAGGAATGCTGGTTGGCAACCTTGAAAAAAAACAACAGAATACTGGCATGCTTCAAGTGTGCCTCCATGCCAAACACTTCTGGGATTAGATCCGCTTTCACTGATTCAGCCGGAGTGGTTTTGGCCGGCAGCACAGATGGCTACAATGGTTGGCACTACCCCTGGTTAGATGGCTGTCCAGGTCAGAGATGAACTTTTGAAACTGACCCAATTCCACGGCTTCTGGGAGCTGCAGCATGGGAGCCAGGGAGCATGGCAACTGGGTTTGGAGTAGCAGAGGGGTGAAGGCGGGCCATGAAGAGGATTCAGAACAACTCAGCATGGCTAGTGCATGGAAAATCCTCTCTCCACTGACAATTCCCACTGACTGAACACTCAGGAATTCACCCTCTGTGCGCCAGCCCGTTCCAGCCTCCCAGCCGGGAATAGTTCCGTTCTCGAGCATACACACGGTCTAGTGGGCACTGCTCGCCCACTTGCTTAG